TGCCAGACTTCGAGGAAGCCGAAGGAACCGAAGCCGGAGGCTGAGGGGGTCGCGAGGACTGCTTTTTCTTCTTTTTGCTTGGGGTCGGGGCGTCATACGTGAGGAAGGATTCAAAAGACATGGTTGGAGCTTCAAAAGGCTCCTCTTCCTCATCCATTTTCTCTGGAACTTCCCCCCTCTCCCTTGATTTTCCTTAAAGACAAAAGCAGATCAACCTAAAATCTTATACTTCGAATAAACAAACAATTGATCAAAAGTGACAGTAAAGACATTTATAATGTTATGTTATAAAAGATTCTATTTCATAATATAAATGCGGTTCTTTTGAACTTTCTATTCATCAAAAAATCCTTGAAACAATCATGGTTGCAGACTGGAGTAACGATGCTGAAAATATTTGATTTTGAAATGGACTAAAACAGAAATACGCTGTTTTAGATTGTATTAATATTTCACAATATTACTGTATTTGTCATGAAATAAATGCAGACTTGGTGAGCATAAGAGACTTCTTACCATCACTTCCTCCTTTCTTTTCCTTTTTGCTCTCGTGTGAGCTTAAATGTCGATCATGTTTAGATTTGTGACTCGTCCCACCCTGTTGCTCTCGTTCGGCTCTGTGCGTCCTCTCCTTGCTGCCGCCGGGTTGGTGCTTCCGTCTCTCCCGTTCCCGTATGTCTTGGGAACTGTGCTCTCTGACTGGCTCTTTGTGTGGCTTGTTGTGTCTAATGTCATTTCGTGGGGGACTAGGCTCCGGCTCCAGCTCCTCTTCTGGAGGGCTTTCATACTCATCTGACTGATACCCCCTTGCACTGCTGTGTCTGTACTGTGAGCTGTAGTTCTGTGGAGGCGAGGGCGAGTAGCCATGCTGGTATTCCATCTCGTCGTGTTGCTCCTCCTCCATAAGTGGAGGTTCGTCTGGAGACCGTTCCCGGACTCGTTTGTGCCCTCCAGACTCAATGCGTGAGTGGGAACGTCCCTCCTTTACAGTTGGTCTATTGATAAACATGAACCATATATAAACTTATTATTCATCTCGTATCTCTCAACATTGCCATGGTTCCAAAATTAACACCCAACAAACATCAAATTAGAATAAAACTCATCAGCAGTGCCAGTGGTAACTTATATTCACTACGGTTCAAAAGTTTGGGGTCATTAAGATTTTCTTATAAGAAATGAATACTTTTACTCAGCAAGGATCCATTAAATTGATCTAAATTGAAAGTAAGGACCTCTACATTGTTACCTAAATATATACATTTCAAATAAATGCTTTTCATTTGACATTTCTATTTATCAAAGAATCCTGAAAAAAAATTATAACGTTCCCACAAAATAGTTAAGTTAATCATTTTAACATCGATAATAAAAAATGTTTCATAAGCAGCAAATCAGCATATTAGAATGATTTCTGAAGGATCATGTGACACTGAAGACTGGAGTGAAAATTCAGCTTTGATCACAGTTATAAATTAAATTTTAAAATATATTCACATGGAAAATATTTTTCTCAACATTACGGTTTTACTGGATTTTTGATCAAATATGCAGACTTTCTTAGCATAAGAGACTTAAATAAATAAATAAAAAAATCACCTTCCTTAAACTTAGATATAAAAATATGTATGGCCCATTCATTTTTCTCAAATCACTCGCCACAGGCAGTTGTGACAAAAAGTTAATTCTGGACCATGGGCATATTCTAAAGAACAGTTGTTTTCTTTACTAAGATGTTCTGCATTTTCATTACCTAAAAAAAGTTAATTGCAATGAAATTAGCAGATAATAGATCACTTTAAGAAGCTTACCTTTCTGCAGATCTCTCTGGCACCAGCTTTTTCCACTTGGCCACAAGGTTCTTCGCAACCTCTCCAGCAAATTCATGTTTGCGCAGAGAATTCACAGCCTTCCCAATGCCAGTTTCCTGCAAGAATCAGAGAAAACAAACATATTAAAAGCTAGAGATCTGTGAGATCAAACCAATAGTAATAGATGTGAAGATAAGCATTATTTTGATCTTACCACCAGGATGTCTACCGTCATGGGCAGCTCTCCCAACCTTTTGAGAGTTTTCAGAAGCTAGACAGAACAAGGAGGAGGAAAAATATAAGTATGCATATCACAGACAAGAGATTCATTAATCCATTGTTATGATTATACTATATATATATATATATACACACACACACACATTTTCTCATAACACCCACCACTGCCAGTTGGGGCAAAATTTTCATTTTTGACCATGACAACAATAATATTGTAAGGAGTATATAAAAATGATCAAATCAAGCATTTATCTGCACTGTTTGTGGACAACTAGACTATTCTTATTAGTTATCTACAAAAAAAATCACTTACAATGTATATATAATACTAAAATACTAAATCGCATCATTGTATAAAACTAAAACTAAAACCACAGAAAAGAGATGCGAGCGTAGTTATATAAAAATATATATACACCCAAATTGTCCTCCTGTCAAATCGATTAATCGCATTGACATAAAAGTTTTTGTTTAAATAATGTGTTTTATTATAATTATACATACACGTGAGTGAACATTTCTGTGTTTATACACACATATACACATACACAGAGAAACATAAACATACATATATTTACAGGACACACGCATATTATGTTCCACCAATTAATCGATTTGACAGTTAGAAAAATACTGGCAGTACCATATCATACACCATGATATGTACATATTTCAAGGAAGTGTTCATGCCAAAATGAGTATGATAAGAACATGGTGCAGTGTCCAAATAACATGGTAGTACTGTGGTATTTAACAGTAGTAAATAACAGTAGTGTCAAAGTTATTAATTTGTTATATAGTGTCCATGGCTCATTTACCAAACTAAAATAGCCAAATTTACCAAACAAGGCATTTAAGCGCACTTAAAGTGTAGTCGTGGCCTCTAGTCTAGAGGAACAGGGGGGTCGCATCTGAAACTCGGCTCTACACAATAACGCGTAGGCAGTTCTCTAAATTTGAGACACAGCCTTAGTTTAAGTACAGTGAGTATTGCGGAGGAATCATGTTTTATAGAGAGTAACATCCACTCTGCTGCACTATCACGGCCTGTCTTCATCTGTCACAGTTATCATAATAAATTGCTATGGTTGTCATTTCTGCTACCTGAGCACTAGCTTCTGATTCTGCTTCCTCTGGCATATTTAAGGAAAAAGTCTGAAAATCTGATCGATCATTCATTTCACGGTCTGCTGCTGTTGTAATTGTTATACGTAGGATTTCTGGATAGCGATTTTGCACGATCCTCAGACTAGCCACGAGCAGAAGCGCGTATAACACAGTCATACACTGTGCGAAAGCGTCGACGTAAAGTGTTGGCTTCGTCTCAGAGAAAGGGTGTATTACCTTGCGAGGCTCTTGATTCTCCTCGAGCCTCAATCGCAACTTCTCGACTGCTTCCATTAGCTCCTCCGCCATGTTTACAGCTGGTACATATTGCCCGGAAGTGGGGGCCTGCTGTTGTTTCAGAGTCAGACTGCTACGAACTTCCGTCACTCCGAAAACAAAAACCGGAAATACGTCATACTGCTGTCATAAAGCCATTTTGATCACTCGATGAGGTCATGATGCATTTATCGTTAAGCTTTTATAATTCAAGGTGGTATTTCAAATACATCCTACTAAAAGAGGTTAAATAGAGTCATCATCTTTTACTAGCAATTTATTTATAATTTGCAATGTCTTAAAACATTCATCCACACACACATGTTCGCTTAACGTGCGCGAACCAATGAGATTCATTCTTGTGTTACGCAGCACTTTTGAGCTTCAGAAAGAACCAATGACCAGGTTCGGTTGAGCTTCTGTTTCACTAATCAAGGTTTATATGTGAATAAAAAAGCGTAAATTCAGTCTGTTCTTTGTAGAAAGCAGCCAAATCTCCTTAGAAAAATTGGACTAAATGGCTTATTCATATGGATTAGTTGTACAATCTCTTTATGAACTTTTTGAAGGGGTAGTTGCTTGTCAATGGAGGGACAGAAAGCTCTCAGATTTCTTCAAAAATATCTTAATTCCGAAGATGAATGAAAGTCGGTCCCACTTTATATTAAGTGGCTTTAAGTACTATGTACTTACATCGAAAAATAAGTACAATGTAGCCTACTTATTGTGTTCATGTTGTATTGTATGTGTTCGTGTTGTATTGTAAAAACATCTGCTATTGAGATGTGATACAGGTAAGGTTAGGGTAGGTGTGGTGTTATGGGTAGGTAAGGATGGGTTAAGGTGTAAGGTAAGGGTCAACTGTGCAATTACATAAAATAATTACAGCTGTAATTACATGCTGGTATTTTTAAATCATAAGTACAATGTAAAAACAAGTCCATTGTATCAAATGATTAATTACAATGTAAGTACATAGTACTTAAGCCACTTAATATAAAGCAGGAACCGAAAGTCTTATGGGTTTGAAACGACATGAGGGTGAGTAATTAATGAAAGAAATATTAAAAATTTGGGGTGAACTATCCCTTTAAAAATTATTAAAATAAAAGGAATCACCACAACAACAGTAAAACATCTCCTTGACTAAAGACGCAAGCAAATTTTTAAGCATCATCACAGATTGGAGACTGAAATGTACAGGCCAAATGACTAAGCAAAATGTAAAACATACACACATTACAGAAATACTGTAACAATACCATGATACTGGCTGGTTAATATAATAATAATTTTAGGATATTATTATTATCCATTTTGGAGTAGGACCAAAGATAATAGCGAATCTGCCATTGAAAAAAAACACTCTCATCTAAATATTGGGCAATGTCTATATGCTGGTTTTGGCCCTGACCTCGTCATGGCTGTAAGAATAACACTGCCTCTATGTCCTATCAGGTTGGAGTTAGGAGGACAAGCTGGATATGGATAGTTTTTTTGGGGAGGGGTGGATGACTGTATATATATATATATGGAGAGGGATGTGTAGGTGGAGTTGGGGACTGGTGGGATTGTGTTGCAGAGCTGTGGTTGGTTCATCTTTTCCACTAACTCCGGCTCCCGACAGCTATCTGCCCTGACAGACAGACAGACAGAGAAAGAGACAGATTAGCAAGAACAGAAAGAAAACAGTGTGGATTCAAGAACTGGGAGAAAGCAAATGAGAAAACAAGGAAGGACAAAGAAGGAGAGCAGATAGTAGAGGTAAAACATTCGGACTGCTTTTCTTTCTTTTGATGAATGCATTAGGTTGCAATAATACATTAGATTAAATTAGACATTGACATGTGAATATTTTAACAGCAACATAACGTTAGATATTTTTTTAATGCATGAATCCGCTTCACAAATTATACGCTTGAATCATTTAACATGCTTGCTGCATGTAGAAATGCTTCAATTTATTTGAGATGATTGAAAACTAAACATCACTTTGGATATGCATCCCTGACATCTCACAATCCACACAAACACTGTATGAATTTCTGATCAATGGCATCCCACTGTTGTCGGGTGGTCTAAATTCAAACGAACCCTTGTCAGAGCGCAAAAAATAAAAACATGAGGGTTGTTTCTCACTCTCTATAAATAACCAGCAGAGGGTGAAGCTTGTTGGGATTGGACACACAAATAGTTGGCTTTCCACGACACTACAGCGTTTTAGACTGAAGACAGACAGCCTGGCATTCAGCTTTTAGGACTGACATGTGTGACAGCTGCTTCTTTTCAATCTCTTCATCCTCTCTTTTTATCCTTCCCTTTCCATGAGGTATAGAAATGTCCTTGTCCCCTACTTACCTCTAACCTTCTTGAACATTTTGTTTACAGCGTCACATGAACCTATCACATTTCAGTAATTTTACAGGATCTTTGATAAGTCTGTCTGGTCAAATAGTTGCACACCCATCACTGAAACATTCATTAAACTACTGAAAATGATTTGTCTTGATGATCCCCCCTCATGCATTTTCCTCTTTATGCTGTAAATAGCTGTGTGTGTGTGTGTGTGTGTGTGTGTGTGTGTGTGTGTGTGTGTGTGTGTGTGTGTGTGTGTGTGTGTGTGTGTGTGTGTGTGTGTGTGTGTGTGTGTGTGTGTGTGTGTGTGTGTGTGTGTGTGTGTGTGTGTGTGTGTGATAGTCAGCAGGGCCAGCAGCTGCTGTGGTGAAATACAAGAAGTGACAAGAGTGTTTTTATGACGGACATTATGTTGCAACACTCCTGAAATCATTTAAACGTATGCAGACATTGCAGGTTTGATCTAAATTATATTAAGCGTCACAAAACATACTCGCTCTTGTTTACATTTTATAAAAGTCAATTTTTGATATATGTTCAGAAGGTCTTCCAGGTTTGTGGAATTGCACACAGAACAGCTACTAGTCATGTGACTATCAGACCAGAAAAATACAGAAAATGCAGAAAAAAATTTGCAAGTGTTTTCTCAATATTGAAACATTGCATGCATATCTAATCAACTCCTGACAATTAATTATTTGAATTATCACTCAGTGAGACATTTAAACAAGTATTACTGTCATTAGAAGGATTTTGTCTTTCAAACACATTAAAATGTACAAGTTCATGTCATTTCATATTTACATGCAGAGATTCCCTAACTTTTTTTTTTTGTCAGCTAAAGTTCTTTCACCTATTATATTTCCTTAAAGTACCTCCTGATTTTAAGTTAATAAGTTAGGTCAATGATTTAAAAAAGAGTCAATAATAATAATAAAATTAATTTCGTGGTTCTCTGATGTTGGTTAATTAAATAAATAAATATGTAAATTAATTAAATGTTTTTTAGTAAGTGTTTTATTTCGATTGGAAATATATTTGATAAACGAGAAAGGTCAAAAGTAATCTAAAAGTAATAATGTAATGTGTACTAACTACAATTTTAGTCATGCAATTTGGTATTTGGAATCAGTAACTAATCAGTATTTGTACATAATATACCCAAGAACTGAAAGTACCAATCTCGCAATGTTAGCGCCTAGCAAGGACATAAAGTACTGTAGTGTTTGGAAGGTTTGTTGTTGGATCACAAAAAAAACACAGTGACAGGACAAAATACTAAAATGTCTCAGAGATTGATTTTTTTAACGTATTAGCCTCAGCCAGACAAAGAGGTCTTTTTTTTTCCAAAAATTAAAAAAAAATACATTTCTATCCTGCCATTTCCATCATAGAATGCTATTAAACAATACACGATTAGATGGAAATGACAAAATGGTTTATGTATAAGCTTATTGCCTTTTGCTGACATAAACATTTGCTTTCCTAACATTCAGGGTTTAAGCATTGCATTGTCCAACATCTATATTTAAATTGATCCTGCTATTTTTTGTTTTTAAAGTAGACTCCTCTTAATTTGAGCACCTGTTGCTGGAACTCGAGCAGTCTTTATCGGTCCCTGGTGAAAAGGGTTGTCATAGTAAATGGGTGGATTCACTTGGCACAAGGATTGAGTCATTTCCGTGCGTTTCCACTTAAATGAAAGCAACTGCGTCTGATTTTGAGGACACGGATAGACCTTTAAGTTGTGGTTTGGCAGTGAGACTGGAGTGCGAGAGAGGGGACTGGTGACAGCGTGAGGGTAATTTACGCTACACAACCTTTGCCATATTTTCCTATGTGGCTATTTTTAGAGACATAAACATACCTGTCTATCACAGTCCAATCATACTTGTTGGTTTATCTGAGGGCACTGCCTTGTTCTGGTTTTGATAACAGCACAGTCCCCTTTCTGAAACAATTCAAATTTGCAATGAGCTGACTAAAAACAACATGGGCAAATATAAGTGAGATTACGGAAAGAAATTACTTTGCATGCATATGCCGTGATCTGTAACACGCCTGGTTATCTATAATAACTGCCAGATGAGTGAGGATTACTAATATAAGTCAAGAGTAACCACACATTCTCTACTACAGGCTGAATCCCATAATAAAAATCAAATATCAATGCAAATATTCATTATTAAATTTAGTAAAGTAACTGCATATATCATGTCCTGCAATATGACATGCTATGCCATCTAATACTAATAAAATCTTTAAAAATGTACTCATTTTTTAAGTTTTTATGCACACAAAGGAATATTTATACACATTTATAAAATTTGGTAACAATTTGCAATAATTTTCCATTAATGCATTAACTAATGTTAACTAACAATGAGCAATACATTTATTACAGCACTTATTAATCTTTGTTAACATTAATTAATAAAAATACAACTGTTCATTGTTAGTTCAACTTCATTAATTAATGTTAAAGGACGCAGCTTTTGATTTTAATCATGTATTAGTAACTTTTAAGATTAACATTAACAAAAGATTTATAAATGCTTTAGAAATCTTTTCTTTGTTAGTTCAGGTTAACTAATGTAGTTAACAAATGAGACCTTATAAACTACAAAAAAAACATCACTAAACTAGAAATCTTCAATTTGGAATGACAATAAAAAATGTGGTACATGCTATTTGTAAATGACTCAGCTTGCTTATAATAAATTTCAACCCTGGCAATCCTTTTTTGGGAACTCCCTTCGTGACCACATGCACCTGTCAATCACCCTTATATCCACCCACTGTAAAAGAGTAAGATGAGATAAACCCACGAGTGTAAACCCATCCATGTTGACCATGATATGATGACTCATACTGCATGTTTACTGTGTTTCCTTTCAGGCAGCGTGTGCTGAAGCGGATCCCTCACCATACTCCGCTTTGTTAGTTTGCAAGTGTAGTCTGTCTGTCCATCTATAATCTTGGTAAAAGTGTCAGTTTTTTAAAACACATAAAATAACAACTTAAAGTGGTACTGGGTAATTGTGACTATCAGCACAGAATATATCATTAAAAAGCTATCCTACACTACACATTACAATGGCTCCCAAAAAGAAGTCACCACGGCCTAAGAAGCCCATACCTGAATTGACAACAGTTGAGAGTGGAGTGGTTGTACCAGAGCTGGGCGTTAAAAAGCTGGAGTTTCCCCTTAATATTGAGCAGCTGAACCGTCTCAATGGTGTTCCCCTGCCGCCCCCTGTGATCCGACCCGGGGAGAAAGGTTTCGGCCTGGGCAATGAGCTCACCCGTCCCCTGCATGGATCCGCTATGCTGGAGGAGCTGAGCCGCATGAGACAGGAACGCTTCCTCACTGACATGGAATTGGCCTGCAAAACCAAGGCATTTGATGTTCACAAACTAGTCATTTCTTCAGTCAGCCAGTATCTTCGTGAAGTCCTGGCTAAAGACCCTGGACTCAAACGACTGGAACTTCCAACCCTCTCACCTCTCGGTAAGCCTTAAAACATATCAGAGGTGCTTCCAGAGACCCATTGTCCTGGAAAAATTTAGCAAACCTAAACCAACAATGTCTTTGGATCTGAACTAATATGTAATATAATCTCCAGCAACAGGGTCACCTGACATGGCCTGAATTTGTTAAAGTTACTAAATATTTCAAGTGACCCAAACAACTGGAATAATCTACAGTCAAACCAAAATGTATTCATACGCCTTAACATTTCTCACATTGTCACAGTTTATTCACTATAGTTTATTTGCTATAGTCGCAAATACTGGTATTGGCCATCCTTCTGTTAGACTGTCTCTATGTTGAATAGCTGTCAACTGGATTGGATAATTGGATAAGTCAACCAATTACTAAGCAATGCTTAATTTTGTTCAGTCTGTGGTGTAAAAAAAGTTGCATTAGCAATTCAAGAAAAAAACACTTAAAGGCATAGTTCACTTTGAAACTAATTTTTGATATTTTGTAGCTTACATCAAGGGCATCTAAGATGTAGGTGTCTTTGTTTCCATAGTAGTTTCAATTTTGATATTTTTAGGTCAAACCGTTCTTGTCTGTCAGTCATATAATGGAGGTCTATGGTCACCACCTCAAAGAGCATGCACAGAGAAGTCCAGATTAAACATGATTTAATGACTCGTAAATGTAAGTACACATTGATGGACTAAGACACGAAACGAGTGGTTTGTGTGAGAAAACGAACAGTATTTGTATCATTTAGACCTCTTAGAGCTCCTTGAGGTGGTGACCATAGACCTCCATTATATGACTGACAGACAAGAACGGTTTGACCTAAAAATATCTAAATTGAAAATAGTGTGAAAACAAAGACACCTACATATTGGATGCCCTTGAAGTAAGCTAAAACATATCGTGTCAAAGCGTCTGAACAATTTTTGGTCGCAAATTTTTACTGGTAGTCACTGTATTTTTACTTTATTTTGCTATCCTCGCATACATAAATGAACGATAGTGTCCTGCACTCACCAGTAAAAAAAGATTTAAAATTATATCTGGTGTCTGAAAAATTTTTGGTTTGACTGTATATTAAATATCCATGAGATATTTGTATTATATTTCTCCTCAGGACTTGCCAATGTGATTACATTTGCTTACCTGGGCCGTGTGCACATGTCCCTGTACACCATTGGCTGCACTGTGGCTGCGGCGAGCACAATGCAGATCCCTCATCTTCTCCAGATGTGCATGGAGTTCATGATGTCCGAGGTGAACGCTCACACGTGTGTGTACATATGGAACATCGGCGCTGCGTACGGCCTTATGCCTGTTCGCGAGGCCGCCCGGCGCTTCATTCTGGAGAATTTTGCCCAGTTCTGTGAGACAGCTCAGTTCAACCAACTCACCCTGGAACAGATCACATCTTTCCTGCAAGACGACAACCTAGTTCTTCCCTCAGAGGTCACCACCTTCCAGGTCAGTGTAAAGAGAGAAGGATTAAAACGCAGGAGGAATTGGGATTTTACAAAAGCTTAAAGGAGTAGTTCACTTTAAAAAAAAAACTTTTGCTGATAATTTACACACCCCCATGTTATCCAAGATATCCATGTCTTTCTTTCTTCAGTTGAAAATAAATTAAGGTTTTTGATGAAAACATTCCAGGATTTTTCTCCATATAATGGACTTTACTGGGCCCCAAATGGTTTAAGGTCCAAAAGACAGTTTCAGTGCAGCTTCAAAGGGCTTTAAACGACACCAGACGATGAATAAGGGTCTTATCTAGCGAAACGATCGGTCATTTAAAAAATAAATTAAAAAAGTTTAAGTTTTATAAGCTCAAATGCTCTCCTTGCTCTGTTCTGTGATGTGCGTTCGTAACTCTCCTGTTCGAACTCGTTCGTCAAAATGAATGAATCTTTGAGTCATTTGGTTCATTCAACGAGCAAAATGAATGACATGACTCAAAAAAAAAAGGTCCGTTCTTGTGATTATGGAGGAAATCCAGGAATGTTTTCATCAAAAACCTCAATTTCTTTTTGACTGAAGAAAGAAACACATGGACATCTTGGATGACATTGGGGTGAGTAAATTATCAGCAAAAGTGAACTACTCCTTTTAGAACTCCCATTTATACAGTGAATCAAAAGCTAAATATGTCGGCAAAAATAGCACATCCTATAAAAAGAGATATAGCTACAGAGTCTTGAGAAGGATATAGACATGCACAGGATGAACACTATTTATAAAGTAGACTGAATTAGATACTAAATATGGATCACTCACTTGAACTTTTCTTGGAATCTACTGTAGATGGCGATGAAGTGGTTAGACTTCGACCCAAAGAGGCAGGAACATGCTGCAGAAGTGCTGTCTCACGTGCGCTTCGAGACCATCCCTGCCAACGAGCTGGTTAGTGAGATCCAGCCAGTGGCTCGAATGATGCTAGATTCTCGGTGTCACCGTCTTCTGGTAGATGCCATGAACTACCATTTGCTGCCATACCAGCAAAACACACTGCAGTCACGGCGCTCAAAGGTCCGGGGAAGCCAGAACGTTCTTCTAAGCATTGGGGGTCGCCCATCTCTAACTGAGCGTGCCCTGAGTCGAGAGGTAATGGCATTTTTTATTAAGGTGTCCAATTCAACTCCTGGTGGGGCGAGTTTATCTCCATCCTGCTCCAACACACCAGTCTCGTAATACTGAATACCTTGGCTAGGTTTGATTAAGTTTGAAGCTAAACTCTTGCCCTCCAGGACCAGGAATGGACTAGAAAATACACTAGTCAACATTTGAAAGCCGTTCTTGTCTTAGGACAACTTTGATGCACTTTTTTGCTCCACTTCAAATGCTGACTACTGTAAATTTCTGATTTTATTTTGATTGCTCACCAGGTGCTGTGGAGAGATCCTCGAGAGGGAACGGCTATATGGCGTCATCTTACTCAGCTGCCAGCAAAGAGCTTCAACCAGTGTGTGGCTGTGATGGATGGATTCCTGTACGTGGCAGGAGGAGAAGATCAGAATGATGCCCGAAACCAGGCTAAACATGCTGTTGGCACTCTTAGCAGGTGTGTTATCACAAATAATTGAATCTAATACAGGGGTGGTCCAGTTCTGCTCCTGGAGAGCCATCTATAGAGCAGTGGATGGCCACAGGTCTGCACAGTTTTACTCCAACCCTAATCAAACACACCTGATCAAACTAATCAAGGTCTTCAGGATTACTATTAACTTCTACTATTAAGCAGGTTTGAGTTGGAGTTGTTTGGAGCTAAACTATGGGCCTCCAGGAATAGTTTGAGACCACTGCTATTGAGAATGAGGAGTCACTTGCCTATTTGGGCGGGGTCTGAGCCGGTCGGCCATGATGGTAGGTGACGCTATCGGTTACCAGGGTTTTTATCGGTTTTTAACGCAGCAGTTACTTCCAGGCATGGTAAAACAGTGCGGTATTGCGAGAAACTCCTCTACTACCGAGCTAAAAACACACGTAATCAATACTGTTTTGTCGTGGGAATCCTACCAACATGGCGGAAAGGGGAGGGGCACTGTAAAATGACGTCAACTCCTCATTCTCAATAGAGGGCAGAAACCTGATTTAACACGCCAGCTAATCAAAAGCTTAAAGGGTTAGTTCACCCAAAAACGAAAATTATGTCATTAATGACTCCCCCTCGTGTCGTTCCAAGCCCGTAAGATCTCTGTTCATCTTCAGAACAGTTTCAGATATTTTAGATTTAGTCCGAGATCTATCTGTCCCTCAATTGTAAATGTATGTACGGTATACTGTCCTTGTCCAGAAAGGAAATAAAGACATCATCAAAGTAGTCCATGTGACATCAGTGGGTTAGTTACAATGTTTTGCAGCATCGAAAATACATTTTGGTCCAAAAATAACAAAAACTACGAATTTATTCAGCATTGTATTGTCTACCAGTTCGGATCCGCGTTCAGTGCCTCTACTGACGTGTGTCTGGTGCGTCCGTGTATTCGGGTTCAAATAAATACGGCTGGGCAAAAAACTGCAAGTCTTCCTCTGTGTGGAAATCCTTACACATTTTTGTGAACATTGTTTTGTACAGCGTGCGTCCCTCAGACTTTAACCGAACCTCAGCCGCACCAGACACGCGTCAGCCGCGTCACTGAATACGGATCTGCAAAAGAACCGTAAGACAATACAATGCTGAATAAAGCCATAGTTTTTGTTATTTTTGGACCAAATCAATGTATTGTTGATGCTCCAAAACACTGTAACTAACCCACTGATGTCACATGGACTACTTTGATGATGAACTAACCCTTTAAAGATTACTTGCAGGCAAGTGTGTGCTTGAACAGGTTTCAGCTAAACTCTGCACTCCAGAAACACAATTGAACACTCCTGGTCTAAAATATATTTGACCGTCCGCATTACCTTCTGGTCCTCAGATATGATCCTCGCTTCAACACCTGGCTGCATCTGACCAGCATGCGCCAAAGACGTACACATTTCAGTTTGGTGGCCACTGGTGGGCGCCTGTATGCCATTGGTGGGCGAAACACCGATGGCCTCTTGGCCACTATTGAGAGCTACCAGCCCTCTACCAACACTTGGCAGCTCCGTACGCCAATGGATATGCCACGATGCTGCCATGCCAGTGCAGTCCTACCATCAGGAGACATCTTGGTGACTGGCGGCTATGTCAACTGCGCTTACTCTCGCTCGGTCATCCATTATAGCATTAACACCGACACTTGGAGCGAGCAGGGAGAGTTGGAAACACCTCGAGGATGGCACTGCTCCGCAACAGTAGGCGGTAAGGTGTACGTTGTAGGTGGAAGCCAGCTTGGTCCCGGTGGAGTCCGCATTGATGTAATGACCATGGAAGTCTTCTCCCCTGAGAGCAAAGAGTGGACAAGAGCGGCAAGCCTTCCCTTAGGAGTGAGCACAGCTGGCATGTCCCCACTTGGAGACCACCTGTACCTGCTGGGTGGGTGGAACGAAGACGAGAAACGTTACAAGTCAGCGGTCCAGCGCTTTGACTCAGGCACCAACAGCTGGTCAGCAGTGGAAGATCTGCCAGAACCCATAGTGGGAGTGTCTTGCTGTGCCCTACCTTTGCCCCCACGTCAAGCGTCCCGAAGACACCGAAACACCCCTTCCCATGAAGACCAGAGCAGAGTGACACAGCACAACACCGCATGAGAAATGAAAGCTGGGGAAAGTCAAAGAGCAAAAGAGAGACGGGGTGAAAGAAGAGATTGTTAGAGTGTAGAAAAGAGAGAGCGAGGGAGAGGGACGTGTCGGTGAAATGGAAATTTAGAGAGTAGAAAGTAAGGATTAACAAAATAAAGTGGAAAGCCAGCACAGAAGTCTTGTTGTTCTTAAGGTTTCTTTGAGTTTCAAGAAAAGGTACTAACTAGGACGTATTTATAAAGAATGTGAAAGTTACATTTCAGCCTCAGCAGTGCGAGGAATTTAGTAATATATCTATGAGTTTCTGAGATTTAATGAGTTTTCGAAATTGAGCCAGGCCTCGGATAGCACACGTTCGTCTCCAAGATTTCTGCTAAAGAGCAGTTCATCTGGAAAGACGAACGTCTTTACATACGTTCTAAATAATAAACATCTTAAAGACATCTTCTAATCGCCTATTCAGCATCTGACAGGATGTATTACAGAAGTACAAACACTCTTAATACATCTTGCAGGTGCAAACTCACATTTCCGAGATGTACATGTGCTATCAGGGGCAGTTTTATTGAAAATACCATTGTAGGATCATCAAAAACATGCTAAATTCAGTAGTACTGAATCAAGTGCGTCAGTTTATTTATTTCTTAAAATATTTATTGCTTTTTTTATTTTAATCAAGTTTTGATTCAGTTTTCTCTCTTGCAGTTATTGGGTCTGGCTTTTAAAGTCTGTTCAGGGGTACTTATGGTTTTTTATATACAAAGACTTGCACAGTGCAAATGTCAATGCCCCCATAGAGATACAATCAGGCACCAATACATTGATATTGCCCACCAAAGAATGTGCATAACACCACACCAGTTAGACTATAGACTGGCTATCGATGAAATGTTTCATGCTTCCAAGCATTGATATAACTTGTTTAAAGTTGTCATTAAAGGGTCTTTACCTGCATGTGTAGTGGTCACAACTACCACCTATAATTGTAGGATAAAGACCAGTAAAAGGAACCAGTAAAACACACAACAAAACTGTCAGTAATAGAAACACAAAATGAAAATGTAAGTATGACATTGAAAATACAGATTTAGGAGTCTGAAGTGTGTCTAGGACTAGATCTCTCTGGGATTTAACTAAATAAAGCAAAATTGATTAAAAACAAAATAACGTCTCTTCATTCTTCATTCCTTTGAACCGTCATAACCAGTCACCAGTTCACCCTCAACTGTCTGAAGTGTTTTAGCAATAAATAGATGTACTTCAAATAGCATCACACCACCACACAAGTCTTTAGATTAGGAAAAATAAAATCTTATCCAAGGATATCAAGAAGGTATAAGCTCTTCCTAAAATTACTATCACCTACACTGAAAAAAATGATGTTTTAACTTAAAGTAACCTGACCGACTTAATTGAGCTCACTGAAACTAAAAATCTGTTGATAGACATTTTTCAGTCCATGTTAAACAAATGATTCAAATGTGCACTTGCATAAACCTAAAATGCTTTATAAATTGCATTTTCACCTGGATAACCGTTCACTTCTGTAAATGTGGTTCGACAAACATTGATTGCACAATCACCAAACAGCAAAGTACAGTCTAATTTAGCTGGTCGTTTGCTGGTTCAAGTGGCATTTCAGCTAAATCATTTAGTCTCAACTCGAAAGTAGTTTCATAAGTACAAACGTGCACATTAAATTCATTCAGTAGTGTTCCACAATCATTAAACTTTAGCCGTGAAATCACAGTGCTTGTATGAATTTTAGATTTTAGAAAACTAAACAAGTGAAATAGCCTGAAATTTCTCTTTTCCAGACTTGCAAATTATTCAAATTTCCATACTTTGCAAAAATGCATAGGAACCCTGATTGAAGTTGATTTGAAAAAGCTGGTAAATCGTGCATTACCTTTTACAGTGAGTATACAAACAAGTACAGCTGATATTATGGTTTCAAAATTGCTTCCCAAAATTGTCATCTCATTTAAGTCATAATTTGCCACACAAATAAAAGAAGTTAATTGAGCAACACACCACAACTGTACTTCACACAAATAAAGACACGGACTGCATCAAATTTTGGATTTTTCATTTATTTGTGTTACAAATTCAAAAAGGTGGTCCTTTACTTGCCGGGGAGGATGATGCCATCATACTGAAACACAAAGAAAATGGTGTAAGGAAATTCAGAAGAACAGAAGACACACTGGACTTATCTACTAAATTTACAGCTCATCTTACTTGTGTATATATATATATATATATATTTTTTTTTTTTCAAAGCAGCTTCACAGAAAAATAAAATGGTTCTCATTAGCCTACATTTATTAAAAATTGAATTGAAAAACACTAAGACAAAGTTATTATCAACATTAGTCAGCACTAGAATGTGAACTGAGGATTTATCTTCAGTATATCTATATACAAAGAGGCTTGAACTTCTGACAAATTAAAAGATTAATATTAAAAGTAATATTTATTTTAATAAATATATAAATCAAAATCATATGGAATGCACTGCACACACTGAAACTAGTAAAAGTTATTTCCATCATTAACCTTGAATGATTGAACCACTTGTTTGCCCATTTTAACAGCACAATTTTAGGATTGTTCAACTTCTGGCTCACTCTTAATTAAACTGGAAAAAAATAAAAAAAAAAAAAAAAAATAACAGCTACTGCTCCAAAAACAGCAAACACGTCTGTCTAGCATCAAATCAACTACAAACGAGCAAAGAAAGAACTGGGACGCAGTATTTAGCCAAACAAGGCCAGCAATCTGTGAAAAAATTAGGATACACTAGAACAAGGACTGTTTGGGAATGGAGTCGAGTTGTGTAACAGGTATTAAACACACCTTCTGTTGGAACCAGCGCATTGCCTCCTCCTTGCGGATCCGGTGCTTGGCACCGATGCGGCCCTGCTTCCTCTTCTTGTCAGCAATACTGAAACCAGGTCTGCCAAGAACCTATAGTACACAGGTAGAATTACTTGGCCATCTCCATCACAGAAACACAACAGTTACAGGTTAAAGTTAAACTATGTGATTGTTTTCATCCGTTTTGCACGGTATCCCACAAATACCCATTTTTATAACATCCATTTAACTAGTAATTTCAACCAACCTGAGTGTAGAGACAAAAACCATTGCACAACTCAAAACAAACTCCTAAAAGCCTTAATTCTAACAGGTTCAACTGTAATGTAAATGCGTGCTCACCACGTAGAAGTCCAAGCCGTAGATTCCAATGCTTGGGTCGTACTTGATGCCCAAATCAATGTGTTCCTGGATACCAAAGCCAAAGTTTCCGGTGTCTGAGAAGTTGTTTTTCCTCAACTCGTACTCACGCACCTGGACAAAATAAAAAAATAATTAAAAAAGACGAATGATTTTTTTTTAAACCCACTGTGGACTTTTGGAAGTTGGGAGTACATTTACATTTTTTGTTGTATGAGCTCGCAGGTGATTTCTTTTTTTCTCTCTGGAGAAAAACTGATGCTCGTATAGCTCACATTGTGCAAGCCGTGTAGGTTACGTACACCTCCTGATAATTTTTAAACATGTTCAGGGAGTCAGCCTGATTTTGATCGGTGTATAGGCTGTTTCCTATTGCCAAATCATACATAACAACGTCACAATAGGCTAGATTTATGCAGATTACATTCCAGTGGCTATACTGTACATACACTAACACACAAATACACCATCTAATTGTTTTGTTGATTTTGAGTTCTGTGCTGTTTAGGGGTGTAACTGTTCACAAAACTCACAGTTCGGTACGATACACTTGTGTCACGGTTCAGTACGTTTTCGATACAGCAAAAAGAAAGAAATGCCAGAGAAATTATTTTTTTTAATTATGTTATTAAAAATACACCGTATTCACGGCAGCGCCATCTTTGATTTTTAATGAAAATTAAAGCAAGGCTGTGAGGGATGGACATGCATCTCTTCAATGGGCTGTACTGTTATTTAATGTGTTTTCGGATTTTTCTGCTCATGAAACACTGGAAAAATATCTTTCCAAGAAATTTCAGTTGACAAACTCAAGACAATATAAGCTGTGGGAAATTGTAAGTAATCTAGCAGCTTTATTCAGCTTTTTACAGCGGATGCCATTGGAAACATGGCAAGTCTATCCCTCACAGGCTTACTTTCATACCGGTCATGGCGCTGCTCTGAATAAGGTCTATAGTACGATTTTTTTTATACTTTGAGCAATGATGGAGCTATACTTGACTTTTCTTAGGAGCATGTAAAAACAAAACAGCTCCTTAGACAAAATGAAATGTAATATTATAGTAGCTTGTGATAAAAGGTTTATTTTAGTTCAGATTACCATTTTAGGGCAGCAATTGTATTCATAATGTCAAAATAAAACCGACGTGATGTTACTTGAAAGCATTATAGCCTACTATTCTGGTCAAACTTCCATGATTACAGTTAATAGTGTTACTACAGTAAATCCATGGTGAATGTTGCTGACATGTGGACATTGAATAGTTCATTCATAGCACAATGTTTCTTCCTGGTTTCCACCTCAGCACTGTTTGATCCGTTAATAACGGAGCAATGGGAATGTTTCTCAAGATCTCACAGCAATGTTATTACTTCAGTGGCAAATTCAAATGCGTTATTGACTGGATTTGGCTTTCTACTAACAGTGGTGCTGGCACTGCATTGGTCCAAACTGATAAACGGTCCATCAACCAGACAATTAACGAGTTGCTCAGTTTCGTTCCACTTACATTACATTTACCATTTGATGTTGGGAAATGTTGTGGTCACGCCAGCGTCTCTTACATTATGAGCGCTAGAGTTGTGACGTTCGCGAACGAACCGATTCTTTTGAACGGCTCATAAACATGAACGATGGGAGCCGAGTCGCGGCAGGAGGGGAGCCGTTCTTTCTGTCGTTCTTTTTTCCTATGCGTGTTTTACACAGATGCACATCAATTACCTCCTCAGTTACAGGGGAAGGGGCGCCCAGCGCAGGGGTGATAGTTGTGCACGCGCGTGCATCTTTTACATTATCTTTTATAACCCTACGTGCCTATGTCATTGGGTTGGAGCGGAGCCAAAACTTGTGCACGCCGCCATCACATGGTTACTCCAGTTTTTTTTTTTTTTAAAAAGCCATAAAGTAAGGAACTGCTTGTATTTATTTACATTGCATTTTGTGTTCATGTTAATGTTATTGTATCTACAGTATATATTTCCAACTTTAAATATTTTTTGTTTTTTATCAAAATGTTCTTGTGGTATTGTATGAAAAACATAAGTCAACAGCTTTACACATACACTCACTTTGTACTAAAGGTAAATACAAAATAGTGATGTCACATTCTAAGCAGAGGGATGTTGTGCAACCCTTTGAAATATAGCCCACACGTGACAAATGAGGTAATAATCAATATTTCAGAATAATTCAAACTCAGATATTGATGCGTGATATCTGAGTTTGAATTATTTGACTACAAATCTCACCTCATCATTCCTCCCAGTGATTATACTAAATATTTAAAAAGAGCCAAAAGAGCCATTCTTTTGAACGGCTCTTTGAAAGGAACGGATCGCCAAGATCCGGATCCCCTCAAAGAGCCATAAATCCCATCACTAATGAGCGCGCTTGGCATGCACAACGCGCCTAGGGCTGTCGCGATAACCGCAATATTGTAGTGCCGCGCTACTGACGAGTCAACCACAGAGGATTGAAAGCAACCGCGATAATCACGTTTATTTATAAGGCTATACCCTTCTTGTTTTGAACATGCATGGGTATTGATTGTTAAGCTGGTTCATTGTGATATCAAGACCGTTTATTGTAGTGATTTGTAGCCCACAGAGGCTTCGCACAGACAGTGAATGAGAGAGATCGGCAGAGTGCGTGCGATAACCTGCATCTGTCTGATAAGTCATATAAATATTGGTGAAAAGGTTGCCGTGACGAAGAAAAGCGAAATGCTTGTCGCATTATCCTTATAACATTCATGTCAAGGGTATTTACATTAATGAACAAAACAAACTGGTAGCTTTACATTTCAATCAGAGATGGCCTCTGGGCACTCTTCAGCCAATGAAAGCTGCTTTGGAGTCCAGACCTTCTGTCGGGAGTCTGAAGGTCTGGATACACAAGAATAACTGACTTGTAACACGTGCAA